AATATATATATATATATATATATATATATATATATATATATATATATATATATATATATATATATATATATATATATATATCTTTGCCTTCCTGCTTTTCACGAGGTGTTGCATTTAACGAGCTCAGTTTACTGGCAAAACAAAACTTACACTCGACCTGGGATAATTTGGCTGTGAAATTGATTCACAGCCGCTTTATTTAAAATATCGTCATTTAATTAGAAATATCATAAAATCATTAAAATTGATCATTTGAGTTAATAACTTGAGTCTGTTAATGTTCTAATTTGTTCACGGGCGCCGCGGGTGGCATCGGTTTTGGTGCAATTTTTGGCACGGAATTCTGCCACGGTTTCTGGCCCGATCACTGGCGCCACCGTAACATTGCTATTTTGGAATTCTACCCCATTGTACTAAGTCTGCATGTAAATATTGGTTCAAAATAAACGCCTGCCTGTTGAACTCCGGGGAAGCTGCCCGATGTGTAATGAGGCAAACCCCTACTATCTGAACATAAGGGAGCTGAAGTAAAAGATGAACGAGGTCATCGATTTTGGAACCCACTACTTCGGGTTTGCTATGGCTAAGGTCGTTAGTACCCACTTCCAAAATTACAATGGCAGGCCGAAATAAACGAACTTTATCTAAATCGAACGTGATCAACTTGTCTACTGTGCGTCCCCCAATTCCATGCAATTTGACGGAGGCCCTTTGTATATTAAAACTAATGGCCGCACGGACGTCGAAATTAGAGCGCAAATCGCGATGGAGACGTTTGAAAAGCGAGTGTCCAAAAACAAGAACTTTTGGGCGTGACAATTCCATAATACCCAAATTAAAAGTACCAAAATATAAGAATAATATAAGAATAATTGAAAATCTCACCTGTATAAAGGTAAAAGAAAGAAGTCCAAAACGTCAAAGAAAATTCGTATGTCTTCACTCGATCACGAGAAAGGTTGAATTGAGAAGTGAATAACTTTGCTTTGCTTTTAGTAGCTAAAATTTGGCCTTGACTTTATGTTTCTTACGTAGGTAAAAGCACCGGAATTTCCTTCTCCGCCAAGTCCCACCTTAATCTGCCACAATCCAATCTAACTATTTCCTACTTTTATCTTATCACTATAATTCAGGCTTGACATAAAAAAAACATATTTCCGTAGGAAATATTTTTATATATATAGAATTTCGCTAAGTAATACCTCAAAATTCCGCAACTGTCTGTTTCATCAATGAAAAATCATTTTAACGGTTGGCGTGAACATGAAAATAATAAAAAACCTGCAATGGCAGAAAAATGTTCTCGAGCCAGAATGTTTTCTTGGCTATTTTTTTAGACGAACACTCAATCAAAAATTTTATTTAAACTCAACCAAGTACAACTGTGTTTGTTTATAAATCATGGTGTATGTGTTTTCCAAATCTCTGCCACCATATCACAGTTTGAAAAAGTGGGCAAATCCCCTTATGGACCCGCTAGCTTTTCAGTCATTTTGTATTACGCACAGAAGTGGTAACCATTTCCCGTTTGTAATCTAAAATGACTGAAAATTGCAAACTTCACAAGGCCATATAATCCGCACTTTACAACATTTTGCAACGAAACTTTGGAATATTACTAATTTTGTGATGCTCTTTCAAGGTGCGATGAAATTTTGTCTAGACTTGTTGAGTTCAAAATTGTGGTTAATTGGGGAATGGTCCGTTGAATTGAAAAGTTGCTGACAGGACAGAAAGTTATCCCGCTAAGCGCGAAAGCGGTCACAGAGATGCCTGTCAACAAGCGAGATCTTGGTACACGGGAAAACTTTTTGTCTCATATGAACGCAGTGTCTCATGTGAACGCAGTGTTCGTCAAACCATTTCTTTCTGTAACGACGAGTTCTTTTATCTGGATTCTTCTGCTCTGAGTCTGTAGTTTTTCTTTTTGGGCCTATAATGTATAAAGAAGTTGGAAAGTTAGTCGTCATGTGTAATTAAAATTATTGAATAATTAAAAGTACATGCAGTTTCGCTGCAAGTTTTCGTATTTAAAATCCGATATAGCAAATGGTTTTTGTCGTCCGGGTTGCATTTATTGTATACCAGCAGTTATATATTCAAAAATTCCATTTGCATTCCTGTAGTAAACGTCGAAAATTCAATGTAAGAGACGAATTTTGAAACAAAGATTATTAAAATTGGTAAGGGGTCACCAAACCTTACATTTCATATACTAAATTTAAATTATGCATGATGTTATTGGTCCATGTATTGGTTGAACTACAACACTTTATTTGAAACAACCAAAAACATTAGGGAAACATTAGTAACAGCGCTAGGTTATAAATTCAAGTGTCGCTGTTTCCAACGTTAATTTCGTTTTATATACGAGCCAAAGACCATTTGTATTTTCCATACGAGCCAAAGACCATTTGTAGACCATTTTACTAGTCAACAACAATGAAAATGGCGGGAAATTTTCGAACTTCATAGGTTACTAGCAAGCGTGATATACGGAAATACGCGCATCTGGTTCCGGACGTAGTGGCATATACGCGTTCTACGGCAGTGTTTTAGTTTCCAGCAAAACACCATTGTCCATATAATAAATATATTTATCATGAGTTCGAAAAGGATGGCTCATTGTCTACTGCGTTACAATAACTTTTGTATCTTCGTCTTTGAGTACAACAGTACCAGGAAAATTGCCAGATGTGGTAGCCTCATCTAAACGATAAATGATGATCAAATTGTTATAAACGTTGTTCTGGTTGAAAACAATAGCATACTGCCAGACGTAAAACAGATAACGGAGAACCAATTCGAAACAGAAATCGTGTCTTAGGCTGGGATTACACTATACCGGATTGATTTTCATACCGGATCAATTTTCACACCGAAGCCAAAATCAAGGGTGTTTACACTATGCCGCTTCGCTCTGTCGCCAGCTCGTATCTTTTATCGTTGCCACGGAAACAAATAATAAGTTTTGACCATTTTGGACGTTTTCTCGACAGTACTTGTGAATTATAACTTTGTTTACAAAGCTTTCATGACCACCCGACGTTGCTTTGTCTCGCTCTTATCGAAAATTGACGAGTATTTCATTAAATTTTGCCCTTTTGAAAGCAAGAAGTCAATGTTATTACCGCTATCTTTATTTGTCTTCGCTAGAACTAATAAATAATTGTAAAGCGAAGCAAACAACAGCTATAAAATATTTCAAAGCGAGTAAATAAAACGACAATGTTAAAATATACTTGCCAAAACCTATTTATAGTACCGGAGCGTACCGGATTGCCCGATTACACTTGGTTTTATCCGGTACAGCACGTACCGGATTACTTTTCATATCACCTCCAAAGCGAAGTGATTTTCGCGCCGCGGCACGTACCGGATTACAGTGGCATAGTGTAAACAAGAGGCCAATCCGGTACAGAAATCGCGTCGCTTCGATGCAATCCGGTATAGTGTAATCGGGGCCTTAGTAAACAATTTTTTTTTATTTGTTCACTTGCATGTATTTTCTAATTACAAATTTTGGCACAAATGTAATTATGCAATAACACTTTAACTTAGAGTATTCAGCAGGTTGAAAGATTCAGTTATTTTTTTCTGTTTAATTAGGGACTGATTGGGACAATTTTACCGATACCGCGCGGCTTCTATAGCAAATACCATTAAAAACGACAATGCGATTATACGGGAAACGAACAAACTCACCCAGCCGGCCGTAACCACGAAATAGGGATGGATCTTCGACATAAACATTCAACTGCATGATAGATGTTTATGAGATTGAATATCTTCGGCATAAACAGCCAACTTAGATGTTTATGCCGTTGAATATGTTCGGCATAAACATTTAACTTAATTAGTCTTAAATGTTTATGCCGTTGTATATGTTCGGTATAAACATTCAACTTAGATGTTTATGCCGTTGAATATGTTCGGTAAAAACATCAACTTAGATGTTTATATGTCCGGCATAATCATTCAACTTAGATATTTATGACGTTGAATATCTTCGGCATAAACATGCAACTTAGATGTTTTTGACGTTGTATAGGCCTATATTCGGCATAAACATGCATTCAACTTAGATGTTTATGCCGTTGTATATGTTCGGTATAAACATTCAACTTAGATGTTTATGACGTTGAATTAATATGTTCGGCATAAACATTCAAGCTAGATCTTCATGCCGTTGTATATATGCTGGGCATAAACACCTATACGTTGAATGTTTATACCGAACATATACAACGGCATAAACATCTAAGTTTAATGTTTATGCCGAACATATTATATTCAACGGCATAAACATCTCAGTTTAACGTTTATGCCAAACAATTACAACGGCATAAACATCTAAGTTGAATGTTTATGCCGAAAATATGCCGAACACATAGGCTACAACGGCATAAACATCAAGGACTAAGTTGAATGCATGTTTATGCCGAACATATACAACGGCATAAATATATAAGTTGAATGTTTATACCGAACATATACAACGGCCTAAAGATCTAAGTTGAATGTTTATGCCGAACATATGCCGAACACATAGGCTACAACGGCATAAACATCAAGGACTAAGTTGCATGAATGCATGTTTATGCCGAACATATACAACGGCATAAATATATAAGTTGAATGTTTATACCGAACATATACAACGGCCTAAAGATCTATGTTGAATGTTTATGCCGAACATATTCAACGGCATAAACATCTAAGTTGAACGTTTATGCTGAAGATGTTCAACGTCATAAACATTAAAGTTTAATGTTTATGCCGAAGATATTCAACGTCATAAACATCTATCAGTTGAATGTTTATGTCGAAGACCTATCCCAGTTTCGCGGTTACGCCGAAGACAGTCAACGGCATAACCATCCCAGTTTCGTGGTTATGCCGAAGACAGTCAACGTCATAACCATCCCAGTTTCGTGGTTATGCCGAAGACAGTCAACGTCATAACCATGCCAGTTTCGTGGTTATGCCGAAGACAGTCAACGGCAAAACATCCCAGTTTCGTGGTTATGCCGTAGACTGTAAACGTCATAACCATCCCAGTTTTGTGCACTGTTAATTTCAAGGAGTTATTTTAACTCCACCATAGGAGTTAAAACTATTCAACTCGGGAGAGTAAAAATTGTGGAGTAAAATCTACTCCCAAAATAGAGTTAAAACTACTCCACTTCGGCGCGCATTCCACAATTTACTCCATCAGGAGTCAATTTAACTCCGCTGGAGGAGTAAACTAAACTCGCTTTTAGGAGTAGAAATTATGGAGTAATTTGTACTCCTTAATTTTACTCCAGGGGTCGTTTCAACTCCCAAAAAAGAGTAAAATTGTTCTGGATCTGGAGTAAATTATTACAATATATAATTAATGTGCCTGAGAATCCAAGAGTTTTTCTGCTGGAGGCTATACTCTATTAAAGTATTGAATACAGTCAGATGCGAAAAGCACGAAGTTCGAGATATAAATTCTTTTTTTAAATTTTCCGTTTTTGGTTACTCGAATGTTGCTAAGTCAGATTGATGCCATTGATGTATTATACTGTATATCGGCTTCCGTCACACGCGGCGATCGAATGTGGCCAGAAATTGTCAGCGAGTCATCTATATTTTTTTATTTGCTGCCTAAATCTGTAATTGGAGCGTGTGGAATGTTCTGCTGCTGAATTCTGCTGAATATAATTTGCGACAAGTGGAAGTTCCAGATTTTCAACCAATTAGCATGTTTAGAATATATCACGTGTTGTAGTAATTCGATCTGGTTCACACAAAGACCAAGCGCCAAGTTCAATCCTTCGGGAGCAAACATTCAAATGTGAATGATATTTATTCAAATTTTCTACTTATAAAGTTGCAAAGACCTAATAAGATACATGGAATTTGTTTTCAAAGGTATGTTTATTGTGTATTTACTTGTTTGTGTGCGGAAAGTTACTTGATATACTGTATAGTTATATTTTTAAATCGAAGACGAAGGCCTGTATTTTAGTCGCTTCGCCGCCGATTTGCCGATCTAGACGTTCAGTTTTAATTTTCGATTAATTTGTATTAGCAGAAGTCCATAAGTCTAATCTACAGTCTCTACTTATATGTGTTGTTAGCCCCGTTTACACGAGCAAATTTTATTTGACAAATTTCATTTCATCAAAAGCATTTGTTGTTCAAATAAAT